CATCTCTACACTGGCCAATTCCGGCAGCACTTTCGCTGCGATCTCTAAAATCTCCTCTCTTTCTACAACAGATGCCGCATCTGTAACAACCTTCTCTGGTGTTACCACGGCAAAAGCAACTCTAGTAAAAGCTGACTTCTCAGCCTTCACAGCTCTTATCCCGTTAGCACCACAACTATCTGCTCCTCCCACGCTCACCTCTGCTGTTACCATGGTAACCCTGTCTACTCCGGCAAGGTTGCCAGCAGCAGTTGCAAAGTTACAGGCTCCCTGCACGCTTGCCGGGACAGGCGGGGGAGACCCCGCTTCGATTGCCCCGCTGGGGCCAGGAGTTTCTCCTGGTGTCACTCCTGTTTTGACCAAACTAGATGTTACCTCTGAACTTAACCCCGCAGCATAACTCTTGTTCTGCTCTGTGACGCTAGAAGCAGCTTCCACAAAAGCCGATCTTATCTGCACCGCAGTGCCTACTTCAGTCAAATTAACAGCCTCTGTTTTTACAGCCACACTGGCGGGACTCACTCCCGCCGGCCCCGAGCTAACTCCTCCGGGGACCTCAATCTGTGTAATCCCTCCCGGTGCAGCCAGACCCACACCCGGGAGTCCTCCAACGACCGGTGCCTGCCCCGCTCCTGCTCGTTCAGGAGGAGTCGGTCCAGGCGCCGCCATTCTTGCAGCTCCGGCTCCCAATTTAGGGCGTGTTAATAAATACAAAAACAGCTCTGCATATCGAATTTCCCGCCACCTCCGTTCTGCATGAAGGAGACAGATTAACCGTAACACTGTGTTCAGTTCAAACGGACCAAATTCTGGCCAAACCACTCCTCTCAATTGTCCAAACAACGGCCAGGCATACACAGACAGCCTATAAAGCTCTTCCTTTCTTAAAGCTGCCCTTGGATCGGTTAAAACCTTCCAATGTTCCAAAACTAAACCCAAGGGGGATTCTTTAGGGACCTCAAACTTTGAATCTTCAAACTTTGAATCTACACCACCCATGATTGTAAAATGTAAATGGACCACGACCACACACACCAGGATTAGAACTTACTACCTGCGGGTTACAAGCTGTTCTAGTAACCTCTCTGCTATTGTTTCGAGTCTCACCGACTCCCAGAGCCCACACCGGCTCTCCCACGGCATCAGAGCACACAGGAAGGCGTCCCTTCCAACAAACCAGTCCTAGACTGAACCCCACTCTGACCCGGGTGGGCGGACCACCCCGTCCACCTCCTGGAAAGCAACTCTCTGAGACTGTATGGGCCCAAGTCTTAAATTTAACTTTCCAGGAACCCGTGTTCCCCACCTCCCGGGAACAGAAACTTTCCCGTAGCTGCCAACTTCCCGCAGCTGCTAACTAAACCAGGTACCTTTTCCCTTATTTTGCCTTTTCTTATCTCACCTCTATGCTCCGTGCTTGTTTCCGTGGGTTCTGTGGAGCTGGGCATCTCAGACCGGGGTGGGAATTGTCTCAGATAAAAACTGACTTGATGAGGAATTCCTGCACGATGAAAGTTTCTAGTCTGGAGAAGTTCCAGTCCAGGTCTCCCCATGAGGGCCACCAAACTGATGCCAGCTCAGCTGTAATGACTAGTCTTCGCGAACGAAGATTTTGGGAAAGGTCTTTTACCTTTCAAGCCTGCGCAATGGATTTTTTTAGGTGAGACACAGCATGCGCTGAACTGAGCCCACCCTTTAATCCTAAGGTTCATCTGCCGGGGCCAAGCAAGCTTGGACAATGGCAGTGAGGTCCTCAGGACGTAGGTTTGTTTAGAGTGACCTTCTCATCGATGGATGGCCTCACAGGGCTAACGAGCTCCATCTGCCCGGGGGACTGGGAATCGAACCTGGGTCGCAGCGGTGAGAGTCCCGCATGCTAACCACTAGGCCACCAGGGGTCCCGCCTGCTCAGCTGGTGCTTAGAAAAAATCCAGGAGCCATTAGTTGGGGTGAGATAAGGAAAGGATTTAATTGTGCCAAGGCAATAGCTGGTAAACGACGCGCGCGCCGGGCTGTGCCCGAGATGTTACATTTATAACAATATCTGGCCAATCCCAAGTGTGTCCATCCTCTGACTTTTGCTCTGGTCCACCCCCTGGCCCGCCTCCCGGAATTGGGTCTGGGGTGCTAATTGGGACCCCCTCTTCATCATCCTTCATCATCTTCGGGGTACAGAGAGCAGAGTCACCCAGTTCCTTGACTCTGTCCTGCGGTTTAGGCCAAGATACAAGCGTTCCCCAAACAAGACAGGCTTGCCTTGACTAAGAGACAAAACATCTTCTACTGGATATGGGGGTAGGGTTGATATGGGGAGTATGGAATGGGGTAAGAGGATTAAGGAATGTATAAACTAAGGGGTGGTAGGGGAGGAGGGAGAAAGGGGTTGCTTCTAAAATCTACTTATATTACCTATAAAACTTATAAGGTAGACAAATAAGAAAACCACTGGGGTTTAAGGCATCACATAGATGTGATTCTTTGAAGCTGTCTTTAAATATGAAGGCTATAATTAATGTATTTTCAGTGTCTGGTGTTTTGAAATCTTAGCTGACTTCTTTAAGAAGAAAACTACTTGAATGCCTCTGTGCATTTCTTTCATCACTGCATACCTGAATGTTCTGCCTTTGGCAGATGAATCACACATCGTGCAGTCAGGTAGAGCCGTTTGTTGCAGATACTTATATTTATAAACTAGGTTTATGTAGTCCTGCTGTTTCTTACTATTTGTTCTCTATCCACCCATATAGCTTTCACAAAACTTTGCTACTTTTGACCCAATTTAATGGAAAAGCAGAGGTTGCAAAGATTTTTTTAAAAATGAGGATATAGGTAGAGAATAAGAACCCAAATTAGTTGTGCCATTTAAGGGAAAGGCAGTTGTAATTATATGAGTTACTCATTTGGAGAGACAGCAGGCAACTGAGTATGTGTGTATGTTGGCCAGCCACCTAGCCTGTGGACAGTTCAAAACCAGGTACATCTCATGTCGTTGTTTATCCAGCCAGAAAGGAAATATGGGATGAAGTATAAAGAAGAGTAGAAAACGATGAAAAAGGGTCTGGGAGTGATGTGGCAGATGGGACTTTTGGGAACGTAGCATTCTATAGTTTGGTGTCCTAGCTGATGTTAATTTTGCTGCTCACTAACCTCATGCTTTCATAAATTATGACTGTGTCTTAGTTAAACAAGATTACAACTTAAAAATTAAGAGACTTCAGGTGGAAGTGTGGAAAAGGAAAAGAAACAGCTTTTCATTAACAAAATCTGAATAAACAACAAATGGTGCAATCAAAAACTTTCAGAAGAAACAAAACAAAGTCCCAAATACCCAGGTGGGGGGGGGAGAAACCCACGGCAACCTGGGGAAGGGGAGGGGGGAAATGCAGGACTGTCCCGGCAGTTCAAAAGCTGCTCGCAGCCACGTGTGCTCGCAGCCAGCAATGAAAAAAAAGGTCCTTTTTCCCACAGGCAGTCTTGAAAGCAGAATACCTCGTTCTGAGATGGGTTGGTCTCTCTCTCTCGGTCGTCCTCTGCAAGGTGTCCTGCGGGGAAAAAACTTCCTCTCAGGAAAAGAGAACGAGGCGGCCAAAAACCGGGCTCCTGCTCTGTCCGGTCCCAGACCAAAACCCCAAAAGCCTCCCGAACAAAGGACTCCCAGCCCTCCCCGCGCTGCCCCGTGTGTGCGGTTTCGCTCCGCCCCCATCCCCATCCTGGAAGAAACAGATGGGGGGGCGTGACATTGGGAAAAAATTCCAACATCTCTTTTCAAACTTATGACAGACTGAAATGTCCAGTGTTTGTTGTCATATTCAGGTGTTGCAGGTTTGTCGGATCTCTAAACTTTGCCTTGGTTATGTGTTTAATGTCTCTTGTTGAAAATTCTTGTGTTATCTGAGCAATGAAAATTATTTTTTTTGTAACTGAAGATTTTTGCCACCTTTTTAGTTTAGAGAAAATAATCTGCTCTCTTCTTGCTTCTGATAAACATCTGAATTGATAATAATTATTTTTAAACTACTCTGCTTTTGATCCTTTTCTTCTTTGTTTTTCTCTAAGTTACAGGGGAATACTGCCCCTTGAGAGTAGTGTGCTTGGCTGTATTCACAGAGCTTCTGCCCACAATACCTGAACAACCTCAGATGAATGATGTTTCCTTTGACCTAGTGAACCGAGCACAGAGCCAGAAGCCTAGCAACAAAATCAGGGTTGGAATTGATTGCTTGTTTAGTGGATGGTCTCTTTGTGTGTTAATTTCTTCATCTAAAAAAATACTTTCCTTGGAAGTGCTACACATAGAATCATAGAATCATTAAGGTTGGAAAAGAACTCCCAAGATCATCGAGTCCACCCTTTGACTGAGCACCACCATGTCAACTAAACCATAGCATTAAGTGCCACATCCAGTTGTTTTTTGAACACTTCCAGGGATGGTGACTCCACCACCTCCCTGGGCACTCGGTTCCAATGCATGACCAACGATTCAGTGAGGAAGTTCTTCCTGATTATCAACCTGAACCTCCCCTGGCACAGCTTGAGGCTATTTTCTCTTGTCCTTAGATTGCTCAGTAAGCATTCATTTTGGTTTTTTAATTTTTTCATTATATATTTGATTTTGTTGCTCTGTAAATCCCTGGTATTTAGACAGTGTTAGGTGGGTGATTGTTATGTCACTGTGTTCTGACTCTTACTAAAGAATGTTAAAGGCAAAAGGGAACAGCAGAGAGTATAGGAAGGAAGACATTTTAGAAGTCTTTTTCAAGTCTTGAGCCCTTAGGTTTTATTTGTTTCTGTTCCCTACAACATTCTGTCAAGTGTTCTTAGTTTATTTTTTTTTTAATTTACTTCTGTGCTTTTGCATATACTTTTTGAGTGACTATTAAAATGGAGTAATTTTCAGCTACAGTAAAAATTCTTGTGCTTTGGGCCTTCACAGTGCATATTCATTTGTCTTCAAATATCTTCAAAATTTAAATTATGCTTTTGATTGCTTTCTTTGACAGGGCTGCGATAGAGGAGGCATATTCAAGGTCAATGACAAAACTAGCCAAATCAGCAAGCAATTACACACAACTTGGGTAAGTGTGTAGAAGAGAGAAACACTTAAGCATGTTAAGCATCAAGTTTGATTCTATTTTATTGATGACGTTCAAGGTAGCATAACTTTGCTACCTTTAATGATTGTTAGTTCTTCAGTTACTGTGAAGCTATGCAAAATATCATGCAGCTATGAAAAACAAGACTGTACAGTTCTTTATTAGCAGTTAAAAAAAACAAAGTAAAAAACCCAACACCATGGAGGAATTGCCTGTTCCTCTGTGTTTACAGTTGAGTTTTTTTCAGAGATAAAAAAGAATGTGACTTTCTATTCTGTGCTCCCTAGCCTATGGTTATTAATTTAAAGAAAGAACATATGGTCTGCAAATGGAGCAGTGAATTTATTTATTTTTATTATTTCTACTTTTTCAAGTGTTATCTCTGTCCTTGGACATGTTAAGAATGAGACTTTTCAATAGATTTATTCCATAGTTTAATTAAAAATTTTTACACAGGATTTTTTTTTAAAAATTGAATGATTAATGGATGTTGTTTTCATTAGAAAGATTATGCCAACAGCTCAGACTTCTTAGAAGAGGCTAAAGATTATTTTTATTTGTAGTAATCACATCTAGAAATGTGGAGAGCTTTCATCAGTGGATAATTTGATACCAGTTGTTGCTGCTCTTCAAAGGTTCTGTATCTCCATGTTAGTTTGAACATCAGTGCTTTAAAGGCTATGCATGGTATTTATTTTTCAGCAGCATTGACCTGGAAACTGAGGTAGGAGTGTATCTTTAGAATAGCTGGAGAAGTCCATGCAGTATAAAAATCTGAATCTAAGGAATGATCTGTTCCTCACCTTCCTTTACCATATGGTTAATCCTGTGGTTGTAATGATGAAAGACAACTGAAAACTTAACTAGTGTCTTGTTTTAAAGACAATGTATGCCAGGGAGGCAGGACCTCTGATGGAATAGATACCCCTCCCACTAAAATTATGCAAATTTGAATATAAGAGACTTTTGAGCAAAAGTGTAGAAACAAATAACAGTTTACTAAAAACAGAGAACAAAGCAGAACAAAACAACAACTACACAATAACAGAGGAGATACCACCCAAAAATGACTCTTTCACTTCCACACTGACGCAGTCCTGGCGCAGTCACGTGATCCTGGCAGCGGTGTCTACCACACAGAAGTGACCACAATGTCAGCAGGGGGCAGGGATGGGCAAGTGGCTCTGGCTCTGCCTGCAGCATGTTGGGAACCTGGCAGGTCGGAGTGGCGAGCAGCAGGAAGCTGGCAGGTTGGAGCCGTGGGCGGTTGCAGCAGATCGAAAGGCGGCGAGCTGGCACAAGGCAGGCTCCAGGGATGCTGTGGCTCGGGCGCTGGTAACTTGGTCCCTGGGCGGCACCCGGGTGGGGTAGGCAATGTCCATGCAGGCGGTGGAGCTTACCAACTCCAGATGCCACGGTGAGGGCGGGTGCCAGGGTATCAGTCAATGGAAATGGCTGCTGCTCTGGAGCCAGCAGCAGTGAGCAAGTTTGAGCTGGCTTCCTACCAAAATCTCCAATGCTCAGCAAAAGCCCCTCCCCTCCCTCCCTTTTTTTGGCAAAGAAAGGAAAGGGAAGAAAAATTATAGAAACTGAAAGAAATCAAACCCAACTGAATTATACCAAAATATATGTATATTTTTACATAATACAGTTATATAGAGTAAGGATATTATGTACAACTCCCAATTAATGGGGAGAGGGGAAGGGAAAAAATGGGGAAAAAGGGGCAAAAAGGGACAAAACCAAAACAGGTATGCACAATCGAGAAACCCGGTAACTAACAAAATTAAAAAAAAAATATTAAAATCTCACCACTTCCCTTGAGAAAAGCAGGACGGCTGGATGCGGCCCAGCCCTCTCCCCTCTGATGCCTGCTCAGCTGGTGCTTAGAAAAAAATCCAGGAGCCGTTAATTAGGGTGAGATAAGGAAAGGATTTAATTGTGCCAAGGCAATTAATGGTACACGACGCGCGCGCCGGGCTGTGCCCGAGATGTTACATTTATAATAATATCTGACCAATCCCAAGTGTGTCCACCCCATAACTTTTGACCTGGTCCACCCCCTGGCCCACCTCCCGGAATTGGGTCTGGGGTACTGTTTGGGACCCTCTCTTCATCATCCTTCATCATCTTCGGGGTACAGAGAAGAGAGTCACCCAGTTCTTTGACTCTGTCCTGCGGTTTAGGCCAAGATACAAGCGTTCCCCAAACAGAACAGGCTTGCCTTGACTAAGAGACTAAACATTTTCTACTGGATACGGGGATAGTGCTGATATGGGGGTATGGAATGGGGTAAGAGGATTAAGGAATGTATAAACTAAGGGGTACTAGGGGAGGAGGGAGAAAGGGGTTGCTTCTAAAATCTACTTATATTACCTATAAAACTTATAAGGCTTACAAAAATTAGAAAAATAAAAAACCATTAGGGGCTTAAGGCATCACCTCACACATGGTAAACAAGAGCAGTCACTGTTGGCGTCAGCTCCAGATAAGCAAGGCCGAGACAGGGATCTACCGTTCCCAAACCTCGCCAGAAGAGAAGAGAGCGAGGTCTCTCCGGTTGGCTTTATTTATACCTCAGGTTATGTAAAGGAATAGCATGGAATACTTCCTTAGTCACTTCCCTAGTTCCTTCCTGGTTACAAGCTGGTCTCCAGGAAGGCCTAGGGTGAAAACTATCACAAGCAGGCAAAGGACAGCAGGGCTCCAGTGAGCACGGCCCCAGAGCGGCATGGGATGGGCAAAGCAGAAGCGCAAAACAGGTTCTCCCACAGCTGCCGGCGGCTCCCTGTGAACAGCAGTCCCAGGACAAAGAGATGCAGCTGTTCCTTGACTGTAGTGACAGAAAAAAGAGAGGGGGCTCCCATCCTACCAGCCATTCTTATACCCTCCAAAATTCTGCGGCACTTCCCACAGGAACCCCCATTTCCCCTGCTTCAGGAATCCCATCTCCCCCGCTGCCCGTTCGCGACCAGGACCCCAGCACGTGCGGCTCTCCCCCCCGCGCCTCATGGTGGCATGGGAAATTCAGCAAGAGAGTCCAAACCACAACAACTAGCCAAGTAACTTTTGTTTTCTTTTCACTATTTAGGTATGCACATAAAAATACCTGTACATGTTAAATTTTTTTGAGCTGCTCTTTCATCATCTTTAGGAATACCATTTGTCATTGTTGTGTTGATGATGGAGAAGAATAAGTTAATTTTGCTGTGTTTTACTCCATAGAGTCAACATAGGTAAAACAGAACAGTGAAAAGTTTAGTAAGATGTCAAGTATGTTTGAAACATTAAGTAACATTTATAGCAGTTTGTTGTGGTTTTTGTTTGCTTCAGTTTTAGGATCAGAGCTGAAATTCTGTAGACATATCAGTTACACTTTAGCACTATTTAAAAAAAATGTAGCCAACAAAGAAAAAAACCACAGAAACTTTAGGGTTGGAAGGGACCTCTGGAGATCACACAGTCCAACCCCACTGCCAATGCAGAATCACCTAGAGCGGGTTACACAGAAACTCATCCAGAGTGATTTTGAATGTCTCCAGAGAGAGAGACTCTACAACCTCCCTGGGCAGCCTGTTGCAGTGCTCTGCCACCCTCAATGGAAAGGGCTCCTCGTGTTCAGATAGAACTTCCTTGTGTTTTAGTTTATGGCCATTGCTCCTCAATCTGTCACTGGGCACCACTGAAAAGAGTCTGGCACCATCCTCTTGACACACACTGTTATAGTTACAGATTTTGGAGGAAGATTTAGTGATGAATATTCATACCATTATGTCATCTGGAGCCCATGTTCTCCCATTGTTTTCTTTTGTTTGGTTGGGCGGACGGGTGGTGGTTTGGCAGGAAATATCCTTTGCCATTTTGGTTTTCCCCTTTTTGTTCCCAAGGGGTGGGGGTGCCACTTGTTTTTGGTGGGTCTTTGCTTTTGTGTGTAAACCATTTTTTTTCCCTCTGTATTTTTTGGTAGTTATTGCTATTTCCTTTTAGTAAATCGTTATTTTTTCACTTTCACTCACATTTTTGGTTTTTTTCTCTATTAGGGAAGGGGAATAAAAGGGGAGGGGTTTTTCTTATTGGAGTTCCTGCCTCCCAAATATATTGTCTTTAAACCAAGACACCTGTCTTTGAGATATTTATATGCATTAATGAGATCCCCTCTCAGTCTTCTCTTCTCTGGACTAAACAGGCCCAGCTCCTGCCATCTCTCCTCATAAGACAGATGCTCCAGGCCCCTAATCATCTTTGTGGTCTCTGCTGGACCCTCTCCAGTAGCTCCTTGTCTTTTTTGTACTGTGGAGACCAGAATTGAACGGATGTGGCCTCACTAGGGCTGAGTAGAGGGGCAGGATCACCTCCCTCAACCTGCTGGCCACACTCTTCCTGATGCACCCCAGGATACCATTGGCCCTCCTGGCTGCAAGGGCACACTGCCAGCTCATAATCAGCTTGTCACCCACCAAGACTCCCAGGTCCTCCTCTGCAGAGCTGCTCTCTAGTAGGTCAGCCCCCAACCTGTACTGGTACTTGGGGTTATTCCTCCCCAGGTGCAGTACCTTACACTTGCCCTTGTTGAACCTCATTAGGTTTCTCTCTGCCTAACTCTCCAGCCTATCAAGGTCCCACTGAATGGCAGCACAGTCTTCAGGTGTATCAGCCACTCCCCCCAGTTTTGTATTATCAGCAAACTTGCTGAGGGTACATTCTATCCCTTCATCCAGGTCACTGAGAAACAAGTTGAATAAGACTGGACCCAGTATTGATCCTTGGGGAATGCCACTGACTACAGGCCTCCAACTGGATTCTACTCCCCTGATCACAACCCTCTGAGCTCTGCCATTCAGCCAGTTCTTGATCCACCTCACTGTCCATTCATCTAACCCACATTTCCTGAGCTTTATCTAAGAGGATGTTATGGTAGACAGTGTCAAAAGCCTTGCTGAAGCCAAGGTAGACAACATCCGCTGCTTTCCCCTCATCGACCCATCGTGCCATGTCATCATAGAAGGCTGTCAGATTGGTTAAGCATGATTTCTCCTTGGTGAATCCATGCTGACTACTCCTGATGAACTTCTTTTCTTTTACATGCTTGGTGATGACCTCCAGAAGGACCTATTCCATCACCTTTCCAGGGATAGAGGTGAGGCTGACCGGTCAGTAGTTTCCCAGGTCCTCCTTCTTGCCCTTTTTGAATATGGGAGTAACATTGGACTTCCTTCAGTCATTGGGCAACTCTCCCATTCTCCATGATTTTTCAAAGATAATGGAGAGAGGCAGAGCAACATCTGCCAGCTCCCTCAGCACACATGGGTGCATGCCATCAGGGCCCATGGATTTATGGGTGTTAAGTCTCTCTAGCTGATCTCTAACCCAACACTGAACAATCAAGGGGAAGTCTTCCTTTCTCTAGCCTTCTTTTACCTCCAAGGTCTGGGATACCTGAGGGCCATGTTCAGCAGGAAAGACTGAGGCAAAGAAGGCATTTAGTAATTCCGCCTTCTCTGTGTCTTCTGTCACCAGGATACCCATCTGATTCTGCAGCAACCCCACATTTTCCCTAGTCTTCCTTTTTCTGCTGATGTTCTTGTAGAAGCCCTTGTTGTTGTCTTTAATATCCCTTGCCAGACTCAATTCCAAGTGGGCCTTGGCCTTCGTCATCACATCCCTGCATACTCTGATGATGTTCCTATAGTCCTCCCATGTGGCCTGTTTCTTTTTCCACATCCCATAAATTTCTTTCTTTTGTTTGAGATTTACTAGAAGTTCCCTGCTCATCCACAAAGGTCTTCTGCTCCCTTTGCCTGATTTCTTGATCATGGGGATACACTGGTCTTAAACTTGGAGGAAGTGATGCTTGAATATCGACCAGCTCTCTTGGACTCCCTACTCTTCTAGAGCCCATTCCATGGGATTCCTCTAAGTAGGTCTTTGAAGAGGTCAAAGTTAGCTCTCTGAAAGTTTAGGGTTCTAGTCCTGCTTACTGCTTTGCTTCCTCCACACAGCATCCTGAGTTCTACCATCTTATGGTCACTACAGCCAAGGCTGCCCCCAACCTTCGCATCTTCAACCAGTCCCTCCTGGTTAGTTAGTAGAAGTCCAGATGTTAGTACAAATCCAGATGAGCATTAAATTTTTTATTATTTTTTGTCCCCTCAATCTAGGACATTTGCACCAGTTTGGGATGTTTTCAAAACCTCAACAGAAAAACTGGCAAGCTGTCACTTGGACCTCATGCGGAGATTACAAGAGCTAATAAAAGAAGTTCATAAGTATGGAGATGAACAAATCAAAACTTATAAAAAGGTTATTAATTTTTTACTTATGCATGTCCAATGACTTGTTAATGTTAAAATAAAAATGGTTTGTTTTTGACAACTATGTGATATTTGACAGACTAAAGAAGATGTTTCAGGAACATTAGAAGCAGTGCAAAATATCCAAAGTATCACTCAGGCCTTACAAAAATCAAAGGAAAACTACAATGCAAAGTGTGTTGAACAAGAACGTTTGAAAAAGGAAGGAGCAACACAGAGAGAAGTTGATAAGGTAGTTCTGTGACATCTTAAATTCATTGTGTTGTCAATCTGTAACATTCACCTTGTACTAGTGAAATACTCAAAAAGGGCTAAAAGTAGTTGTGGTTATTTCATAATGTGCATGATGCTTTGAATGCCTTGTTATGTTTTGTTTACTCTTCCTTAACGGTTCTAACTGCACTGTAGTTCTAATTCTTTATTTTGTAATTACCTACATCATATGATAATTTTCTTCAGTGGCTTTTACAGAAACTGTATATGTTTCAGCTTCTATTATGTTTTCGGATGCATTTTGTTAAGTAAATATGCAAACATTCAATGCCTTTATTAATGAATTAAGGAGTAGGAAGTTTTGTGTTGTCCCCTCAAGTGAGACAAAGCAGCTAATTATAGGAGTATTTGAAGTCTGTTTCATTGAGAAGAAAAGCAAGTTAACATTACTTTCAACAATAATTTAAGAGGTTCCAATAACATGGGCCAAAACTCCAAGGGACTGCATTTAGTACTCTCCTTGGGTCATGGAGGAGCTTGATCCATTTATAGAATCACAGCATGGTTAAGGTTGGAAGGGACCTTAGAGAAGTTGTGGATTCCCCACCCCTAGAAGTGTTCGAGGCCAGGTTGGATGGGGCTCTGAACAACCTGGTCTAGTGGAATGTGTCCCTGACCATGGCAGGAGAGTTAAAACTGGATCATCTTTAAGGTCCCTTCCAACCCAAACTGTTCTATGATTCTATGACCTCTGGAGGTCATCTTGTCCAACCCCCCTGCTCAGGCAGGATCATCTAGAGCCAGCTGCCCTGGACTGTGACCAGATGGCTTTTGAAGATCTCCAAGGATGGAGGTTCCATAATCTCCCTGGACAAACTGATCCAGTGCTCAGTCCCCCTTACAGTAAAAAAAGTGTTTCCTGATGTTCAGGTGGAACCTCCTGTGTCTCAGTCTGTGCCCATTGCCTCTGGTTCTGTCACTGAGCACCACTGAAAAGAGCCTGGGTCTCTTCTTTGCACCTTCCCTTCAGGTATGACATGTACTGACAAGATGTCTCCAGAGCCCCAGGCTGAACAGTCCCAGCTCTCTCAGATTTTCCTCATAGGAGAGATGCTGCAGTCCCTTGATCATCTTTTTGGCCTGTTGCTGAACTCTCTCTCTAGTATGTCCACGTCTTTCTTTAAGTATGTTAATAGCAAGAGGAGGTCTAAAGAAAACATTGGACCAATACTTGTTGAAGATGGTTGTCTGACTAATAGGGATGAAGAAAAAGAGGAGGCATTCAATGCTTTTTTTTTCCCTCTTCAGTCATTAGTAATACTAATAGGGGACCAGGCAGCCCATGGTTTGAGTTGAGGACCATGACTGTGGGAACAGTGTCTTTCCATTTGTGGACAATGAAACTGTGAGGGACTGGCTGTATCAGCTGAATGTTCACAAATCCATGGGGCCTGATGGGATTTATGTCAGAACACTGAAGGAACTAGTGAATGTTACAGCAGGACCCCTCTCAATGATCTACCAAAGGTATGGGGAGTCTGGGGACGTGCCCGCTGACCTGAAGCTAGTCAGTGTCATTCAAATATACAAAAAAAAAGGCAAAAGGGAAGACCCAGGGAACAACAGACCTGTTAGTCTAACCTCAGTACCTGAAAAATTATGGGAAGATTATACTGGGTATTATCGAAAGGCATTTAAAGGGCAATGCAATCATCAGGCACAGTCAACATGGGTCCACAAAGTCCTGTCTAATTAATTTTATCTCCTACAATAAGGTCACATGCTTAGTGGATGAAGGTGGTGAATGTAGTTTTCCTGTATGTAGTACAAAGGCCTTATCTCCTCTCACAGTATATGGGGGTTTTGTTTGGGCAGGACCAAGGCAGTTGGCAAATCCCCTAGTGTTAACCAACCAAGAGGCTTTGGCTAAATTTGTATCCCAATGCTTCCATGCCCCATTGCCCAACTCTCTCAATGTAGTCTTTAACAGTCCATTATATCTCTCAATCTTTTCCAGAGTTGGTGGTAAGGGATGTGATACACTAACTCAGTGCCATGTTTCTTTGCCCAGGAGTTTATGAGGTTATTTTAGAAATGTCCCATTGTCTGATTCAATTCTTTCTGGGGCACCATGTCACCACAAAATGTGCCTTTCAAAGTCTAAGATGGTGTTTTGAGCAGTGACCTGGTTTACAGGGTATGTTTCCAACCAACCAGTCGTGCGTATGTAGCTCTTGCCTTGGCGTGTTTGTGGCAGTGGTCCAATATAGTCAATTTGCTAGGCTTTGCCATATCGAAAATCCAGCCACTGCCCTCTATTCCAGGGAGATTTTACTCGCATGGCTTGCTTGATTGCAGCACGTTTCACATTCATGGGTGACCTGTGTGATGGCCTCCATGACCAGGTCCACCCCTCGATCACGAGCCCATCTGTATGTCACATCTCTTCCTAGATGTCCTGATGTTTCATGGGCCCATCGGGCTATAAATAGATCACCCTTCCACTCCCAGTCTAAGTCTACCTGAGCTATTCCAATCTTGGCAGCCTTATCCACCTGCTCATTGTTCTGATGTTCTTCAGTGGTGTGACTTTTGTGCATGTGAGCATTGACATGACGCACCTGTTTTCTACCTGTGCAATGATGTCCTGCTACAATGCAGCAGTAGGGGACCCCTGGTGGTCTAGTGGTTAGGATGCGGCGCTTTCACCGCCGTGGCCCGGGTTCGATTATCGGTCAGGGAGACTCCCCCGGGCAGATGGAGCTCATCAGCCCTGTAAGGCCATCCATCTATGAGAAGGTCACTCTAAACAAACCTACGTCCTGAGGACCTCACTGCCATTGTCCAAACTCGCTTGGCCCCGGCAGATGAACCTTAGGATTAAAGGGTGGGCTCAGTTCAGCGCATGCTGTGTCTCACCTAAAAAATCCATTGCACAGGCTTGAAAGGTAAAAGACCTTTCCCAAAATCTTTGTTTGCGAAGACTGGCCATACACAGTGCATCAACCCAGATAGGTTTACCCCTGTGTTGCCAATTGGTCTTCTTCCATTGCTGTAGCCACCCCCACAGGGCGTTAGCCACCATCCAGGAGTCAGTATAGAGATACAGTACAGGCCACTTTTCTTGTTCAGCAATCTTTAGGGCTACTTGGATGGCTTTCACTTGTGCAAACTGACTTGACTCGCCCTCTCCTTCAGCAGCCTCAATGACCTGTCATGTGGGACTCCACACAGCAGCTTTCCACCTTCAATGGTTTCCTACTACATGACAGGATCCATCATTAAATGGAGCATAGCCTCTTTCATTTTGTGGTAACTCATTATATGGTGGTGCTTCTTGAGCATGAGCTGCCTCCTCAGGCAACGCCCCAAAATCTCTGCCTTCTGGCCAGTCCATGATGCCTTCCAGGATTCCCAGGCTGTTGGGTTTTCCCCATCAAGCTTGCTGCGTTATCAACACTACCCACTTGCTCCATGTAGTGCGGGTTGTATGATATGATTAGGGGATGTTTCCTTTGAACATCCAGTGCAGCATGGGTAATCGTGGTGCCAAGAGGAGGCATGCTTCTGTCCCAACAACTTCTGAGGCATCTCGAACCCCTATGCTGCTAATATCTCCTTTTCAGTTGGAGTGTAGTGGCCTCCTGATCCTCGATAACCCCGGCTCCAAAACCCTAATGGTCAACCTCTGGTTTCTTGTGATGTTCTTTGCCAGAGGCTCCAGGTGGAACCATGCTCCCCAGCTGCTGTGTAGAGAATATTTTTGCAAAGCTGGTCCTGTCCAAACAGGCCCAAGAGCTACCACATGAGCTATTTCCTCTTTGATCTGCTCAAAGGCCTGTTGTTGCTCAAGGCCCCACTCAAAATGGTTCTTCTTCCAGGTCAGTCAATTAGAGGGGGCTCACAAGCTGACTGTAACCTGGAATGTACATCCTCCAGAACCCCATAAGACCTAGGAAAGCTTGTGTTTCCTTCCTGTTAGCTGGTGGAGACATAGTTGCTGTCTTGTTGACCACATCCATAGGGATGTGACAATGTCCATACTGCCATTTTATTCCCTAAAACTGGATCTCCCGTGCAGGTTCATTGACCTCGCTTCTTTTTATGGTGAAACCAGCTTTCAGAAGAATATGAATTATTCTTTTTCCTTTTGCAAACACTTCTGCTGTGTTGCCCCACATGGTGATATCATTGATGCATTGCAGATGTTCAGGGGCATCACCCTGTTCCAGTGCAATTTGGATTAGTCCATGACAGATGGTAGGGCTGTTTCCACCCCTGGAGCAGTCAATTCCAGATGCATTGGACAACCCTCCACATGAAAGCAAACTGTGGCCTGCACTGTGTTGCCAAAGGGATTGAGAAAAACACATTAGCGATATCAGTTGTGGCACCACTGGGCTGCCTTTGACTCCAGGTTGTATTGAAGTTCCAGCATGTCTGGTACAGCAGCACTCAGAGGCGACGTGACTTTGTTCAGGCCATGATAGTTTATTTTTACTCTTCATTCTCCATTAGACTTTTGCACTGGCCATATGGGGCTGTTAAAGGGCAAGTGAGAGTTCCTGATCACTCCTTGGCTCTCCAATTGATGCATCAGCTCATGGATGGGAGCTAGGGAGTCTCGGTGCAATATTGCATCAGCTTAGTAGCAGTTGGCACCCGCTGTTCTTCTGCTTGCAGTAATCCCACAATGAAGGGATCTTCTGAGAGGCCAGGCAGGGTAGATAGCTGCTTGATCTTCTCTGTGCTCATGGTAGCTACACAAAAAACCCATCTGTACCCCTTTGGGTCTTTGAAGTACCCCCTCCTGAGGTAGTCGATGCCAAGGATACAAGGGGCCTCTGGGCCAATCACAGTGGGGAGCTTTTCTCATTTATTCCCTCTTAAGCTCCCCTCAGCCTCCAATATAGAGAATTCTTGACATCCCCCTGTCACTCCAGAGATCCAGATGGGTTTTGTGCCCCTGTACTCTGATGGCATCAGTGTGCAGTGTGCACCAGTATCTACTAAAGCTTT